ATCGCCTTGCAAGACCAGGTTCGGGGGATTTTTGCTAGCGTAGTGCTAGCGCCAGCCTAGCGCGCTGAAATGAACATCTTTTTCCATGCAAAGGGATGCATTTGAATGAATTTAAATTCCGCTGGCACTAACTTATTGTCACGTCGGGGATGAAAACTAAATTCTACAGGGCCAAATAGATACTGTTGCAAACTTAGAAGATCTTGGTTCTGCCTAAGCTTGATGAATGAACGCCGCCGGCAATATGGGCAGATACAAGTCGAAGATGATCGTCGTGCTAGCGAGTTACGCAAGCAATAGTAGTAGCTGCAGCAATACAAGCATATGATTCCAAGTAGCAGTGCAGCTATATTTCTTCAAGTTTAGTATTCAGGTAAGGATCACATCTCCTTTTTTTGTATAAATATATGATACCATCGATATCGATATTATCACTCCAGCTTCTTCCCATATATGCAATATCCCCAAAATGACTTTATAGCTTTGCTATATACGGTTGGGATTCTTATTTCTTTTCCCTAGCATATCTAAAATCGTTACCTCTTTCAAAATCGATCATGATATAAATGCTAGCGCTATACTAGCGCCTCTAAGGGATTTTGCCAGATCCTTGTGGGAGACCGCCTCATAATAAAAACTAAAATTTGATTCCATCTAAGATTCGTGTCTCCTTTACTTATAATTTTCGTATATATCTTTTTGAATACTGACCAAATATTTATTATATCGAAATAAATCTTCCGCTCTTCCGTCTATTCTAGAATCTATAAATTCTACTATAATATCCTTCGAAAATCATCGAAGAAGAGATCGAAATCAATTATATATATTATAAATCCAGAAATATGAGATCTTCAAATTCAATGATAAATAAATCATGAAATCGAAGAGAAATTAATGTATAATCCAAATAGTGAATATAAAAAGAAATAGATTTAAAAAAAATCTTTGCAAATTATATTTTAAAAAAATTAATCTAAAATCTCGAATATCAAAAATCTCGTAAATTTCTATTCATTATCTATATAATCAGTTTAATTTTAATTTTCAATCCTATCTTAATTTTTCATTTTTATCCTAGATCTATCTTTGACGAGAATTTCATCATTATATTTTTATAAAAATTAAAGGTCCAATCTCTCTATTCGAAATCGATTCGTATCGACTTAATATCTTACTTATTGACTAAATGATATATTTCGCATAATATCGATATAATATACGCTCCAAATTCAAAGAAAATTCAGATTCTAAATATTTTTCTATCTTTAAAAGTCCGCAAAAATACTTCTTCGAAATCCAGAAAAATCAAATTGCGTCAATTTAATAAGTTATCAAATTTAATTTCCAAATTTGAAATGAATATATCTAAGATAATATAAGAATATATATATATATTCGATAATCAACCATATGATAATTATTGATGAATATATTCGATTTCCACTCGATTAATCGATCTCATCATAATCATTAGATATCTATAAATCTCAGAATAACGATGCGAAATTTTCTGATCTCTTGTCATCATTCGCATATTGTCCATTCTTCTTTATTTCTCGTATTGATTCTATTTCAAAATAATTCGTTCTATTTATCAAGCAGTTTGTTTTCCAATGAATGGATTTGCGAGAGATAGTCTGCATGCCTATCTGGACCAGAGCATGTTATACCTTGGGCGGTGCCAAGACCTGACTCAAGCGCTTGCCTGAAGCCGCGGCTTCCGCACCCGGAGGGTCGGTACGACGAGCAAAGGCAGTGGCTGCTGTGGTGGCAGTGGCCAGGGCCTTGAAATTCCGCTTCTCCTGCCAGCGTGCAGGATTCTATCCGGAAACCCCAGCGCAGTCCATCCTAAACTCAAGATTCCATTGGAGTGTTCTTTTGCTGTTGGCTACCCATGGCTCTGGGATGCATATCTGCCATGAAATTCAACACTGAATGTCGCATTCAATTTCAGAGATTCACTCTTCCAGAGACTTTTCCGAATGGGGGCTCCCTTGCCTGAAAAATGGGTGATTCGTCGTTGCAGAACATCAAGGATGATTGCACATGTTCCTGTGACGTCAAGTTTAATCCATACATGAGGACCCAAATCACGGCAGTCAAGATGACTATACATGCGAGAACCCGCGGCGCAAAATAATCATGATTAATTTTGGTGATTCGGAAACATGTTCGTGTTGATGTTGCTGTTGCTGTTGCGTTACTCGGTCGTGGCGCCGTAGCGGTGGCGGCCGCGCGTTGGGTTGTGCTGGTGGTGGTGGTGGTGGCGGCGGCGGCGGCGGCGGCGGTGGTGGTGGGGTGGTGGTGGTGGTTGTGGTGGTGCTGCTGCTGCCAAAAAAAGAAACGGAATCTGGCCACCTCCCTGGTGATCTGGTTTTCTTCTTGGCCTTGTCTGTGCCAGCATTTTGCTGCTTGCTTGCGCAGAACAACACGCAGCCAGATGGCTGGCATGCTTGGCCTTTTTTGCTTTGCTGCGATGCTATACTTCTTGGGGTGACAATCAGTCAATTCCAGACCAGCAAGTTGCTATCCGGCCCACAAAGCCTGTTGAACCCTTCTCTGAGCTGCAGCATATGCACACTCCTTCTTCCACGAGGGTGTTGGAGTCTGTGCCAAGATTTGACGCACTTCAAGTACTTTCACTCCATTCTGCTCTTGACCCAAGCTAGCAAACAGAAACCACAGAGATCAACCCGTCTTTGCTCCATTCGAATTGGGAGCAGATTTCGACTTGCTCATTCGGTAAACAATCCTAATCAGTCGGTCAGCCCCGTCTGGCTTGATATGGCAAGAGACACACCAAAGAATGCACAAGACTTTCTGTTCTGTTCATATCTGGATCTTGAATGTTGGGCAGCTTCAACTCTCTCAGACTGCCACGAATTCTGTGCACTTCAGGGTTGCCGCCTCTTTCAAGTGTTTGGTTTGCTCCAGGACGAAAGATTTATCTATCCCTCGGGCAAGATAGGCGAAGCGGTCAGGGTATGCGGGTGGCTCTAGCTCTAGCTTTGTGTGCACACGGGCTCTAGTTGATGACAAGGCGAAGGACATGCCGCCACGTGGATTTACTAGCTTTTTGTTGGCTACTTCCTGGATTGTTGATTACTGCTTGGGGTTTTCTGCAGCATACTGAGAACTGTAACGTCCATGAGGTTACACCTAAACCAATGCACAGCCTATTTGAGGAGTAGTGTCTCTAGGGGAAATGGGCAGGTCAGCCTCCCCCCAACCCAGGCAAATCATCAGTCGAGCATGCAAAAAAAATCCCATGTCCCCATACTTGTCCCCTATGCCTCCCCATTCGTGCTACCTTGGCTCAGTGTTTGGGGCTGGAGTACGGCTTTTGGCAGGCTGGGAGAGAGGGAGGCTTCTGGCAGAATGTTCTGCTTCAGCAAACACCGACTCTGGATGGGTGCAGATTACCTACAGTCTCCGGAGGGTTGCGTGTATCTGAAAGTGCTACTGTAGCTCCGCAAAGAACCCGTCAACTTGCCACACCTTCTCCGGCGCTTGCTCGTGGTTCAATGAGTCCTCCACCACCATGACACAACTCAGGCGAAGCGCATGACTCCCCGCGCGGTGCCTGGAGCCTGTCCAAGAGCTGCCCAAACAGGCTGCGCTCCTGACACTGCAGGAGCGAGGATGCATGCTTCAACTCTGCAGAGTAGCTCACTTGCTTTTCACTGCCTCCTGCCCGGTCTCCGTTTCAAAGATGAACTTTTCTGGGAAGATCTTCTTGATCCTATGAATCAAGGGACTTCTCTGGTCTGGTGATGGCCAAGATTCAGAGCTGACGGTCCTCGGGACGCCTGCCTCGGACATCAAGAGGTCCTTGTGGATCTTCTTCAGATTCTCGTTCGCACTTCCGGCCTATGGTCTGTTTGATTTGATACTGTTCAGCTTTCAACCGCTCCCTCTGCCGCACCTTCACCGTTCGACAAAGCTGGGCCCAAAGGCCGAGCATGGGCACGACCAGACCTCACGCATCGACACAAGCAAAGAATGTTGACAGGCCATGAGAGGCCTTGGCTCACTTAAGGCTTTCAGGTGACACATGAATTTGTATAAGCCCTCGCCAGTTGAGGATAGGCTCCCGCATGCATCAACAAATCCTTTTATCGTCTGGATGGATCCGGGCGCCAGGCGCTCGCGGTCGCAAAGCTCCATGCCCTCATGCTTGCGCCTGAAAGCTGAACGGAGCATCATCTAACGTTTTATTGCTGCAGGGCTCTAGAAATCTAGTGCGCTAGTGGGGCTTAGGCCTGCAGCAGGTGAGCTGGCTGTCGTCACCGAACACCTGAATCGACTTCTGCAGCCACGCCTGTAGTGCAGGAGACGAGTTATCCCTCGGCAGCCGTCGGAAACGCACCTGTGTTTCAGTTATCGCTGTTATCGCTGGTAACTATTTTGCATCTTTGACTTGTGCCTCGTTGAGCGGAGTCAGCCTCGGGCCGGCAAGATGTGTCAGGTCTGTCGCACTATCACTGAAGCGGACAGTCCTCTATGGGTGCCCTGACACATTGTGTTTGTAACGCGGGCTTCCAACGCTCTAGCACGTCAGTCTCGCGACATGCAGGAGCATTTCAAGAATTCCCGCATGAGACCCGTAGAATGCATGCCAGTGCGACATGCCTTCACCGTTGCCAGCATACGCAGAACAATCTAAAATCAGGTTAACTTGCCTACTGTTAAGATAGCATATCTTCGATGAACCGCTGGAGCTCGCCCCCCGATTAAGGCCTCCATCCAGCAGTAGTCTTAACCGGACTGGTAGCATGTCCGAGTAGAAATACATAGCAGTACTTGTTGCTTAGCAGAAGCCCTAATCGCGGATTTCGTGGTGGTGGCCGCCTGGGTCCCGCCCCCCCCCTGCCCCCACCCCCAGCGCAAGCCCTGCCATCACTGCCACGGCCGCAGCCACAACCGTCATTTATGGCTACTGGAAATACTAGTCGTAATCGTAGCAGTCGTCGCAGTAGTAGCAGAAGTTAGCAGTAGTAGTCGTCATCGTCGTAGTAGTAGTAGTAGTAGTAGTATAGTAATAGTAATAGTAATAGTAATAGTAGTAGTGGTAGTAGTTGTAGCAGCAGTAGTTGTTGCAGTAGGGGTAGCTGTAGGCACCCCCCATTCCAACTACACGTCCCTGAAAATTGTACCAGACCACAAGTGTTCGACATTGCGATACAAGGACTGGAGCGAAGATAAGGAAGGGGAGGAAGTGGGGGAGAGGGGCGGATAATTTCGCACCTTCGGAGAAGCACAACGAGAACAAGCTCTTCCTGTCGTACCCTACGCCCAATTTCGAGACTTTGCAGGCCATAAACGCTCTTTTTAAAGCTCTTAGGACGGAAAGCATGTCCGAGCCGCAGGCGCCGCCTCAGGGAGCATGCTTTACCCTTAAAACCTACTTGCATTTCAGCCAATTTCTAAGGCATGTCTTTACGTCCTTTAGGACTCAAGGAGGTTTTGAAATCGGCAGCGAATGTTGCTTCATACTGCTTTACACGGCTAACTAACGCCCATTCCACGGTTGCGACCTCATTTTCAGGGAAGCGTTGTTGGTAGGGATTGAAGCAAGGAGCAGTGGTACTGGTCTGCTCATTTGTGGAGAGCTAAAAAATCCACCAACATTTTTATGTCCATATGATAGGTGGTTTTATTCTGTTTCCATTCCTATGAGGCAAAACACCCTTGCACGAAACCTTCCCGCGGCCCAAAGCTCGTCAAGTTTTACGTCTCGCAAGTTGTTGTTTCCACGAACCTTCCATTAACCTTTTCGCTTCTACGAAGTAGTTCCAGTCCCCTACCTAACGTTGAAGATACCTTCCCTGCTTGTCAAGCCTTACAAGAACACCTAATGTAGAATTTAAGGGGCCTTGCGGACGCTCGATTTCTCAGAGGTCTTTATGTTTTCATGCTATGTGCAAGTATGATCAATTTGTGACTCAGGGAGTCTTAGGGGTCCCTTCCCGGATGCCTTATGTTCCGGCTATGGGTTCGGGACAGCAGCATCTTCCAACTCCTTCGGCACGTAGCTCAACCACTGAGCGAACCAAGTTGCAGGAAGACGATGTTTGTAGCAGGAGGTGTTGGCACCACACTAGCCCACGGCACCGAAAACGCTAAGTCAATGGCATTCAAATCAACTCGGACCCGTTCATTGCGGCGCCCATCCTTGGCGACACCGCAGATACGGCCACCAAAAGTGTACCAAGGTCGGCCCACTCCTCGGCCAGGCGGACCAAAACAAGCCCGTTTTGGGGTGGTCCTTCACCAGGATCACCCTTTCCGACGGTTGCACCCGCAGCTTCTCCGGGGTGGGCGTCCGCGGTGACATAGGGGCCGTTGACTCGACCTGTTCTTGGTCCAGAAAGGAGACTTGCCGCTTGGAGGCGAGGGTACCAGAAGCCATGGCTTTAGCCCTATATAGACGCCTGACTACCTTCAACCCCCTTCAGGGGAAGTCCTGTCCTGCTGCGCACGAGACTTTTGAAGTGACTGGGGCTAATTGAAGCATCAGCGAGACGGAAAGGACGGAAAGGAGCGACCTTATGGGCTCCGGGCTCCTTTTACCGAAGAAAAGCAGGACACTACACTGCACTTCCGGCCGTGGCATGAGAGGATGCAAAGCTGGCTATGATTACACAATCGAGCGGTTTCGAGAGGCCTCGATCTTCTTCTCAAATGCAGGTTGGCTCAGGAGCAGCCTTGTCTTGAGCCCAATTCTCTCAGCCTCGCCAGGGTCGGATACGACCTCTGTTTCCGACTAGGAGTCAAGATCAAGCGCCCTTAGTACATCTTGTTCCTTACTCCGCCTGGGCTCACCAGTACGTGCGGGTCGGTTTCGACCGTGGCAGCAGCAACGGCGTAGATAGACCACCAGTGCACCGACACGGTAAAGAAAACGTACCACCAAGACACCTAGCCGCCAGGCAGAGAACCCCATCATAGGCTCCCAAGTCGACCAAGGCCTCAGCACCCACCGCAGAATAGCAGCAACAGTGAAGGCCTGCACCTCCATTGCACGGGACTTGCCGACAAAAATGCACTTGATTTTCGTGCTCCACAACATGTCTCGCCCGCGGCGGGTGGTCACACACCCAGGACCTGACTCGGTGTCACCCAAAGACCGCGACGATCTTTTCTCAGGATCCAGATGGAGGCAAGCTACCGCTGACTCCAGGACAACTACCAAGTCGTGAGGTCGCTTGTAAACTCTGCGACCTCAAACTTCCTTGTGGTACTATTCGGTGTCCGCCGAGCGGACTCCCAATGCGCCCGTTCTGGCAAGGCGTTGGAAGCTTTTGGAAGCCTGGGCCGCAGGTACTTCCGGTAGAGTCACAGAGGGCTAGCCCCCCTTCCAGCGGAGATCATTTCTTGCAGCAAGACCAATGACAGAGCTTACAGCACCAGAGCCGGTTGCGCATTTGTAAAACCATAAGGAGGGCCAACGCGGGGGCGGAAGCAGGTGAAAGAGGCCACGATGGCAACGCTTCTCCAAACAACCAGACCCCACAAATGTCCAAGAGCAAGAGAATCCATCCCTCATTGACTCGTATACGGCCGCCCGCACTGGGAGTCGAGAAAATGCAGATGCCTCCTCCCCGCCGTAGGCCCCAGAAGAACCAGCTTTCGGTAGGAGGGTGCCCCTGAGAGGCCTGAGCGCAAGTTGCATTCAGGCCGGTGCCGCTGGACCGCGAGAAGCCCCAAGACTCCCAGCAGGTTGGATTCGGAGGGTTTCCAACTGCTGTAGAACTTCCATTCGAGGAAAGAGCAGCAGCAGAAGTCGACGCATTGCTTGCATTCGGGGAAGCATGGGTGGGTGGCCACCACCCATTATCTAGTGCACTGCGCATAGGCAAGAGACCAAGCCACAGCGCGCGCATAGCGACCTTGTGACACTGGCTCTACCAACGGCATTCAGGTACAGGTTTGGGCCGAAGCTTGAGTCAGCATGCCCAAGTTCCCATGCAGAACTCAACCTTATTTCTAACAGTCAAGGTCACAAAGCGATGATTTTCAAGGATAAGCAGCCGGCAGAACCGGATATTTTGCCGGCAAAATGTATTTAAGGGATATCATGTTCTACAAGTAGGAGGAAAAAGGGATATGTGCGTGACAGAATTCCAAGTTTCAAAAGGATGTTGGGAGAACTCTGTGGTAGACTTCTTTGTTTCACATGGAAGGAATCTTGAGATCCATGTGTGGCAAGATGCGGCGGGGATCTAGTCTTTGAGGAGAATCATGGGATAGTCGGCGGTGGCGGTGGCGGTGATGGCGACGGTGGAGACGGTGCGCTGCTGATGACGGTGGCGGTGGCGCATGTGGATGCGTATAATGTGAAGGTAGTGGTGTCCACTCCATGCACTTTGGTGTGGTAGGGGCAGTGGCCCCAGGCCGGGCCTCCAAATCTGAAATCGTCAAATCTCGATGGGGCGCAACGTCAAAATCTCAGCATTGCAAGAACCACGATGCCTGCGCACACACCGTGAAAATTCTGAACACATGTGTTCTAGGCGCGATTAGGGGGCGTCTATAAACTATGGGAATTGGCTAAAAGGGGGCTCGTGGTTGGGGGGGCGGGTCCCGGGAACGGGTCAGGGCAGTCCCTGAACGACCACTTGATAGAGGCCGACGAACGACTCAAGCGTCGCCAGCACCCACACACACCCCTTTAGTCCAGACGGTGCGCGCTCATCCCGCGCGTGGCCTTTTGAAATTCTATTTGCTGCCCGTACCACTACCAAAGTGCATGCCTAAGATGGGCCGAATCGGAAATCACAAGTTAGAGAGAGTCATAATTATAGTGGCGAGTCATTAGTATACTCGATACCATCTCGAGCGCAACTGCTGGGCTTCCGGTGTGTTTTGCAGAGAAACCTGAACATTTGCCCAGCACGCTGACCAAGACTTGTGCGGGCAGTTCCGACCAGGCCGTTATCCTGGACTTATGCGGGCCGGCTATCCAGCGTTTTGAGCTGATGGCCAATCTTTTGCCGAGAATTATGTTTAATCCAAGCAAGGCGTTTGTACTCCAAAGATTCTCCCAAGATGTAGATATTGTTCTTGAATCGAGATAGAACTATGTAACCAACGCTAACCGCTGACACAAGGTCTGTACTTGCAGGCATTTTGTGGGCATTTATGGTGCACGAGCCAACATAACTAAAAGGCAAGTCGGCGCTGGTGTCCGAATTCCGGCCGGTGCTGGTTGGTGTCCCAGTCCTGCTCGGTGTCAAGGTCTGTGGTTTGGTCGGTGTCCCGGTCATCGTCCGGAAGCTTTTTGGAGCAGCTTGTTACTTACTCCGTCAGCAGTGCCAATGAAAACAGTATAGCTAACATGCTACATCCAAGGCCCTCTGGCTGAGAGCTTGATGAAAAGCCAGCGTATTATGAGCTCAAAATGTCAGCGTATTTGGTGGTGGCCTAGGCTTGGATGCTGCCGCTGTAGTTTTGGTAATGTTTCTAAGTCTCAGACTGCGTCCCAACAGCCACCACGTTTGGGAACCATCACATTGCATGGGTGCTGGGTTTTGGTGTGTCAGCTGCTGTCCAGTTCATAGTTACTGTGCTTGCAGCCTGAGAGGGCGAGAATGACATGAGGTACAGGCTAAAGTCCAATTGTGGGCCTTGTACGTTGGATTTTGGTAAGTGGCCTATTGTTTTCCAAGCTTTGGTGGTGGGCCATTTTTCTCTCTTTGGTAGTGCAACTTTAGTACTGGAACAGCCGTCTCCGGTAACCAGATGGATTTTCGTTCTCTGGAAGTACAACTTTAGTACTGGAACGGCCGTCTCCGGCCATCGCATGGATTTTCGTTCTCTGGTAGTACAACTTTAGTACTGGAACAGCCGTCTCCGGCAACCAAATGGATTCTGATGGATTTTTTGTTCTCTGGTCGTACAACTTTAGTACTGGAACGGCCGTCTCCGGCAACCAGATGGATTTTCGTTATTTGGTAGTACAACTTTAGTACTGGAACGGCCGCCTCCGGCAACCAGATGGATTTTCGTTATCTGGTAGTACAACTGTAGTACTGGAACGGCCGCCGCCTCCGGCAACAGGATGGATTCGTTCTCCGGTAGGATAGCTTGATTGGCAGAATGCTGTTTTGAAATTTCGACCAACCCACAATGTTGTTTCCAAATCTTCATGTCGGTCCCCTTATAACCCTGGACCTTGATAAAAAAAGACCGCGCTTCACATGGCATTGGTGCGCGTCGGTGGTGGCCGTGGCAGCGGTGGCGGCTCGGGCGCTGTCAGCAGTTAGCCGTCAGCATTTCGGGGGAATCCCCGGTAAGATGCCCACTGGCCACTCTCTGCCAAAAACATGTTGTCTCCAGCTTGGGCCTCACACGACAGATGGAGGAACAGAAAGAATGAAGTTTCTCAGTTACTTAGCTGCCAGCCAGCAGATGCGACAGCTGCTCGGCCCTGGAAGACGTATCGCCAAGAACAGAGACCCAAACATAAGGATTGTGTGAGACATGTGAGACGTGAGGCTTCAGGCGCGGCCTGCACCAGGCACGGCACTGATATGTATCTTTGTTGCACTCATCCTCCAGGTCCTGAAGCTAAGATTGGCGGGAACAGCAGTAATTACACGTCGAGCTCAATGCCTTGTGCTTCACAGGTGGGGCGACGACTACGAAGGCAGATACCTTTCGAAAAGCTGGCATTGCTGCTGCAAGGCAGCATGAGGAATGCATTGACAAGGAAGCCAAGGGAATTCACGCTGCTCTTGTGGGTGGGCCTTGGCAGCATACACGGTGAGCGAGTTGATGGCAGCGGTTTGCGATGGGCGATGCCTGCATCATGGCCGAAGGCAGGTTGTATACGTCCTCATAAGGGCGCCTAGATGCGTTCACAGTATCTTACAGTCTTGAAATGCAGACATCAATGAATGATTCCAGCACATTTCACAGACCTTTCTTTTGCGGGTCTTGCAAAGAAGACATAATAAGTTTTCAAGACCAACCCTGACCGGAGCCTCTGGGGTATCGAGCTGTAATCGAGCCAAACGTATGTTGTGGTTTCCTGCCACTTCCATTTCTTCATAACTTCCTCCACCGCCATCACCATCTGCTCATATTGCTTGCCTCGGCAGTTTCTTTGTAAGCAAGGCTTCAAGGCTCTGGAAAAGCAGGACAAGCTGGGACGAGCTCCATCATGGTCAGGTTCTGCAAATGCCGTCCACTGGTGCGACATGAAAATAACCTGAGGAACCATCACTCCCAGCCCAGCCCATCGCAGAAGATATGTCATCCAATCCGAGCTCAACATTAGTGCGCCCCTGTAGATTTAAAGACGTTGTTTTACGCCATTTTGGAGGTCAAAGAGCACTTGAGAGGCACGGGCATTTTGGGGCCGAAGACCTTCTAGAGATAAAGACAGATTTCACATTTATAATTTAGCTGAAGTGGATTTAGATTGGTTCGCCGATGATTTTCAGTAGCTCTTCATTTCCTTTTGATTCAGGAGCTCACCTTAAGAGGTTTCAAGTTTAGGGAGACTCACTTACTTGGCTGCCTTGGAGGGCGTTCTCTTGGTTTCTTCTTCTGTGGTGAAAACTGATTCTGAAACCGGCTTTGCTCATTGAAGTTTATGAGAAATTAAAGGCTCAAACATCGCTTGCTGAGATACCCACGGAAGGTTGGAGGGTAATGACCAAAATGCTCCGCAGTTATTCTCCGAGAACCAACTTTTTCCACTGTTTGGTATTGAAGGGCGGGTAACCCCCTTGCTGCTGAAGAGCTCGGATTAGCGTGCAAGCTACAAGTGCTAACAGTATTTTCCTGCCGCATGTGTGCCTTGTTCATGGCCCTCTGCAAAAAGTCGTCAATCTCCTCCCAAAGAGCAGGAGCAGGCTGGGGTGAGCCCAAAGAATGATGCAGCTATTTCCGACGGAATTGCCTGGATGGTGTGCAGCCAAATGGATTGGGGCAGGGTGTGCTCGAAGGCCACAAACTTTCCAAGCTGCTTGAAGATCGGCACCTGGCACAAAGCTGGTGGCAAATTTAAGAGTCGCGGAGGACCTGCAGAACATGCCTGGAGCAGGACCATCGGGAAAGAGACCTCTTGGGTAGCATGAAGTGCCTTCTCGATTGTGCTTCTCTCCTGCAAAGCTGTCCAATGCAATCAAAGAAACAGCAGACACATGCACATTTTTTGTCATGATGCTGGCATGGCTAACATGGCTAAAGCTCATTGAAGCATCATGTTGGGGAGTCTGCGCCTGCGCCAGCTTTCCATAGTACGAGTTCAGCAGCGAGCTGACCACCTTTTGGCAAGGTTGCATGTTCTAAGCCTATGGTCCCGCACTACCTTACACATGAAGAGGTGACAGAAGACAGAACAATGCGTCGTGAGTCATAATGTAAGCATCGCTGTTATACAGGGGTTGGTAATAGTTTCCTGGGCCAGGTTTTGGATGTCTCATTTGATTTTAGTTGTCATGGTTTTCTTGAGGCTATATCCATATATCAGCTGGGGTGCAGAGGGTAATTTTCATAAAGGCGTGGGAATGATAAAATTCTGCAGCCAAAAAATCCGGAAACATCATGGGTTGGTTGATTGATTGATTGATTG